CTTTATCTTCACATGAAAGCATCACCGTTGCCTTCATCATTTATACTGGAAACCTCCCCCCCTGCTTAATTTGTTCTTCATTGAGGTTCAATAATTTAATAGTCTAAGAGTGGATGTACTGTGGTTTCCCACCAAGATAACACAGTCCATTTCTAAATGTTATTTTTCATACCTCTCTCAGGAGTGACTAACATTTTGATGGACTTTCTGGTAATATTCAGGCAACAATCTCAGCGATAAACTGACCACTTGGCCTAGTATGCTTTTTACCACATTGATGTTCACTAGCCATTTTTCTGTTTATGCACAAGGAATGAAAGATTTACCCACAGTTTATCCTACCCAGCTACTAACTTCTTGCCCAGAAAAGGTAGCTGTCACATGCAAAACCAGAGGCAGCTTACTTGTTCATATTTACAAGAAATATGAATAATTTTAGTATCATTACAAAAACCTGAACACTATACATGAATACTCTGAGAAAACCCTATATGACATACATGTTGTTCTTTCCTACTGTAAGTTTCCCCTCTTCCAAATCAAAACTAAACGTATGTCAAAGTTTTTGATATGTTCTTCAAAGATGAAAATAAACTAACATTCCTCAATATGCTGTCTTATAGTTGATGTCATTTAATCTCAGAAGTGAAAATTATCGTACCCATTTTACACATAAGGAGAAGTGAAACTCAAAAAAGCTCACTGAGGGCTTCCCTGGTGGCGCAGTGGTTAAGAATCTGCCTGCCAATGCAGGGGACACGGGTTCAATCCCTGGTCCGGGAAGATCCCACATGCCACGGAGCAACTAAGCCCGTGCGCCACAACTACTGAGCCTGCGCTCTAGAGCCCATGTGCTGCAACTACTGAAGCCCACGTGCCTAGAGCCCGTGCTCTGCAACAAAAGAAGTCCCTGTTCACCACAACTAGAGAAAGCTGGCGTGCAGCAACAAAGACCCAACGCAGCCAAAAATAAATAAATAAAATAAATAAATTTGTTTAAAAAAAAAAGTTCATTGACTTACCCAGTGCTAAGCGGGACTCTAACTCAAGTCTTTAAGCCAATAATCCTACTACTTCTTACGGAAACCCCTGGTTTGCTGCATATGAAATGACATAGCTATGTGTCCGGGACTCGCCAGGGCAAAGGCTCTTTAAACTAGGGTCCAAGAATTTGGATGGAAAAAAACTTACATCCTTATTTTCACTAACCTATAATTGAAACTAACATTCCTTCAATTCTGAATGTAGTATTAGCAGGACTATCACTAGTTGTTATTTAGTAATAAAAAGCAAATTTCTTACATCATAAATTTTTTCTAAGGTGAACTACATTTCACACAGTTAAAAAGTCATATTCTTTTTATGGAAAGGGGTTCACAGGTTTCTTTAGACTACAAAGGAGTTTAGGGCACATAAATAATGTAAGAATGCTACTCCAGAGACCATCACACAATCTGTCAATCCTTGGTAACGAAGGTTTACAAAGGCATGTCACACAGTTTACTCATTGTCCTCTAGTTTGTTAAAAATATGGGGAATTCCTGGGCTTCCCTGGTGGTGCAGTGGTTGAGAGTCCGCCTGTCAATGCAGGGGACACGGGTTTGTGCCCCGGTCTGGGAAGATCCCACGTGCCGCGGAGCGGCTGGGCCCGTGAGCCATGGCCGCTGAGCCTGCGCGTCCGGAGCCTGTGCTCCGCAACGGGAGAGGCCACAACAGCGAGAGGCCCGCGTACCGCAAAATAAATAAATAAATAAATAAAATATGGGGAATTCCCTGGTGCTCCAGTGGTTAGGACTCTGGGCTTTGCCTGCCAAGGGTGCAGGTTCAATCCCTGGTTAGGGAACTAAAATCCCACAAGCTGCACGGCGCAGCAAAAAGGATAGCATTTAGACCCAGTGATTTTTTCGTATCTAATTTGTCAATTACATTTGCTATTACTGATCTCCTACTTCTAACCTAACACACATGGAAATCTCTCTTATGTACTTATTAAACCGAGACATTAAACTTCTTTGTGACCAACTTTTCAACCCTAAGTAAACCTACTGTATTATGATTAGCAAGTGAATCCAGTGCTTGTACAAATGAATTTGACTTAATGTACAGCTATGGTCCAAATGTTTGTGTCCCCTCCACCTCCCCAACTGATGTATTGAAATCCTAACCTCCAAGGTGATGGTATTAGGTAGAACAAAGGCCCTCATGATTAGGATCAGTGCCCATTTAAGGTGTTTAGTAAGTATTAACAAATAAGCTCTTATCTTCTGCAAGCTACAGCCTATCGTATCAAAATCCTTATGCTTAAGATGCAACTTTAAAACTTGTCATCGGGCTTCCCTGGTGGCACAGTGGTTTAGAGTCCGCCTGCCGATGCAGGGGACACAGGTTCGTGCCCCAGTCCGGGAAGATCCCACATGCCGCGGAGCGGCTGCGCCCGTGAGCCATGGCTGCTGAGCCTGCGCGTCCGGTTGCTCCGCAACGGGAGAGGCCACAACAGTGAGAGGCCCGCGTATCGCAAACAAACAAAAAAAACTTGTCATCTACTTCACTTATTTTCCTTCACAAAGGTTCCTATTAACCTTATCCCATTCTGTCCACTCTAAAATTCACTGCATCCCAGCATCCGTATTTTGTGTGAACTTTTATGTTGACATGTTAAATCTCCAAGCCAGTTTTAACGTTGTGGGCAGAAGAGACGTCTATTAGTACTTCCCTAGTCCTATGTCTACACAAGTTAACAGCAGTCAAAGGCTGTTAAGACACCTTCCCTTGGTAGTACTATGACAAACTTTCACTAAGTGAAGCTGTAACACCATAGTTTATGCTCTGTTGCTGAGACTTAATCACATTTCCACCTTGATGTACTCAAAACGTTTTTATTAGTCATAAACTTTCTAATATTTGTGCTCTTTACAGTTAGTTATTTCCTATTAAAAAACACAGACCTTTAAAAATTGATTCTGATTCTTCTGAAACAAAATGTAGAGGAAAAGAACATAGTAAACTAAAATAATGGAATTTCCTTAAAAGTACAAATTCATTTTAGAATCTGGTAAGTATGCAACGTTTACCATATATAATAATCTCAACTTAATGTTTTATAGGAAGAGTTTGAGAATTTCAAGCATAAAACACAACCAGAGTTGGAATACTATTTGGCAATAAAAAGGAACGAAGTGCTGATACATGCTACAGCATGGATGAGCCTTGAACACATGGTTAAGTGAAAGAAGACAGCCACAAAGGGACACATATTGTATGATTCTGTTTATACGAAAGATCCAGAATAGGCAAATCTACAAAGACAGAAAAGAGACTAGTGGTTGCTAGGGGCTGGGGGAAGGGAAGTGGGGAGTAACTGCTAAGGGGGCCTTCTTTTTGGAGTGATGTTACAGAGCAGTGACAGCCGTACAAATCTATCAGTATACTAAAAATCATGGAACTGTACACTTTAAAAGGCTGAGCTTTTCGGTATGTGAATTATACTTCAATAAAGGTGTTACTTTAAAGATAAATAACAAAAAGCCACCACTTGTAAACCACAGTGAAAATTTCCTTGGGAAAGGAAATTATGAAAGTCATCGACTAGAAAAGTAAGTTGGTTACCTGTGATGTTAGCAAAGTCAACCTCCTATTTTTTCTCCCATTCTACCAACAAGTACACGAACATAAAACTAGACAGTGTTCGAATCAAAGAATTCGGCACAGTTGGCCGTTAAACTAAAATAGTGAGTGCCTTCTTAGAATCTCCCACTCCTAAACTGTAGGGGGCTTCCACTTACGGAAGTAGTTTTCAACAGCAAGCTCAAGAAGGAACGTCAAACTGGATGACATTTGCCTAGACGCCCTACAAAAGCCAAAAACACTAGAAGGGGTGACACCTACACACTCCTAAGTCTGTGCACGTGTTAGGCTGCCCCCACCCAACACCAACGAGCAGCATGCACCATTCACCCAGATCCCAACTTGCTCACCATAAACTGACACACTATCAAGCCCTCTGGCTCATTTGTTTAAAAGGACAGATACAGCAACCCTCACCAGGTTCCCACTCGAGCCCAACCAGCCCCCGCCCTGCCCCTCCCCACCCCAAACCCACACACGTGTTAGCCCGACACCGCCCCACCGGGTCCCACGTGCACCTGGTCTAACACACTCCCCACGTGTGGGCGCCCCACGGGCTTCCTCAGCTGTCTGAGGTCACCGCGTGACCCTGGGTCTCCAGAGGTAGGAGAGGGGAAGGACGAGGCCCAGGTCCCTGAGGTCCCAAGCCTTCGGGGAGTGTCCACACCCATCCTCCCTACTAACCCCAACAAATCCAAGGGCCGGGGGCGACGGCCCCTTTAAGACGCGGCCCAGTCGTCGCCCACAGAGAGGGGCGCAACGGGGCCTACACAACCCCCCCCCCTCCGTTTGCCCGCCCACGTCTAGTCGCCTCACCTCGGGCCGCCGGGCCCCGCCGCCGCGGCGGCGGCGGAGGGGGGGCGGGGTGCGGGCGGGGTCCGGAGGGGGGGGTCGCCCCGCCGACGATGGAGCTGCGGTTCGCTCTCTGAGGCCGTGGGACGGTGACTGCGTTGGGCGTGGACGCTCCTAGCTCGCTCCCTCGGCGGCTCCTGGGACCCCAAGATGGCGGCGGCGCTGAGGCGGCTGCGGGCGCTGGGCCGGCGGCGGCGGCGGCCACTTTCACTCACTGAGAGGAGCGGAGCAGGGACACGGGGAGCCATGGCGGGGGGGAGGAGAGGCGCCATAGCCAGGCCAGAACAATCGAGCCGCTACTCAGCGGGCTTACCGCTGCCCCGCCCACGCTCACTGCTCGTCGCCAGCCCGTGGCCGTCCGCAGTGCAGCTGCGGTCGGCCTCGTGCAGCTCGCACCCCGCCGCTACAGCCTGACGCCCCGCGCGGACCGGGGTTCGGGGGGAGATCCTGATCCATGCCATCTGAGTGCAGATTGGTCGGGGCTGGGACTGCCGAAGATTGCCGAAAGGCGGCGGGGAGGAGGAGGAGGATGTCATCGCTAGAGTGAGCAAGCAGATCTCGCGGGAGCAAATGTCGCGAGACCTCTCCAGGTCTGCAACCGCCAAAGAAAGGTTACTTTTCCCGGAAGTAACGTCAGTCGAAACGGCCCGGGATCCTGGGAATATTCGTTCCCTCAGGCAGGAGATTGGGGGGCTGCTTGTGATTAGTTTGTTAGGGGCTACCAAACACTGCTGAGTTCACCTGAGGGAAAGTATAGGCTCGGGTGTGATACTTTATCCTGTTTTTGGCCCCTTTGGGTGGGGTTGTATACTGTGGGGAAGTGCATGCTCCGTGGAACCTCTCGTAACAGTAGTTTGGGGCTCCACTTTAGGCTCAGCGACCAAGACTGCGATGCTGTGGCATATTTGTGCAAGGCGCCAAGGTGAAGGCTTTAGGATTCAAGTACTTGGGAACACACAGACCTGTCATCAGAAATGCCTCCCTATTCTAACACCCAGTGAGCCTCTGAAAAGGGAATAATTTGACTTGTCTGTGCCAACTCCATAGTTTGCGACCCCTACTACCTACATTTACTAAAGTTAATGCAATTCAATTACCAGCATCTGTGATGAGAAGTACCTAGTGTAGAGCCTAACTGCAGATAAGGATTAGAAGAACTTACTGAAAGTTAACTATTCTATTTCTGTTCCCTCATGTCTCATGTTTTAATTCATTTCAGCCTGGCCCTTAGCACGTAAGCAGAACAGCATTTGCTTAAGGTCACTAAGTAGCCTTCTTGTGCCAAATTCGCTGGACTTTGAGAAGTTAATTTTGCTTAAAGGCAAAAGTATAATATACACCCTTTGTGAAAGAAAGAAGGGGACATAAAACACACAAATACCTGCTCATTTGTCAGGGGAGGGATAAACCAGAAGTTAAGGTGAATGATGTCCTATGTGAGAAGGGTGGCAAGAAGGGGAGGATTGGAACAAGGTAGCAGGATCGACAAAGGAGTGGCAGATATTTTTATATAGGACTGTCTCTTAGAACCATATGTTTCACATACCCAAAAACATAAACACCTAAAACCAACTACGATAATATTTGAGTAACAACCAGCTGATTGGAGCATAAATCAAAAAGAAAAGAATAAAGGGGGAAAAGTCAGTGAGCTGCGGAGGGACCAAGTTGTATGGTCCTTTAAAGTTCAGACGTATAGATTGTCTGTTGTATTTGTTTTCTGTTGCTGTGCTAACAAATTACCACAAATATAGTGGCTTAACACAGACTTACTATCCTACAATTCTGTAAGTCAGAAGTCTGACTCAGGTCTCAAACTGGGCTAAAATCAAGGTGTTGGCAGGGCTGCCTTACTTTCTGGGGGCTCAAGGGAAGAATTTGTTTCCTTTTCCAGCTTCCAGAGGCTACTTGCATTCCTCGGCTCCTGGCTCCCTTCTTCCATCTAAAAGCCAGCAATGGTAGGTTGGGTCCTTCTCATGTCATATCTGACCAACTCTTACCCTTTTAAGGATCCTTGTGACTACAACAGGCCCACCCAGATAATCTAGGATAAGCTCCCTATTTTAAAATCAACTGATTAGCAACTTTTAGCTCACCTGCAACCTTAATCCCCCTTTGTCTGTAACCTAATATATTCACGGGTTTTGTGGACATCCTTGGGGGAAGGCTATTATTCTGCCTGCCCCCCCCCAGTTCTGTTCTAGAACTTTTGATGTACAACTCTCATCTTTCATCTATGACTTTCACATTAAAGTCCAGTTTTTTCTAATCTCTAATACAGTCTTGCATTCTTTTTTTTATTTTTTTTTTTGGCCTTGCTGCGTGGCTTGTGGGATCCTAATTCCCGGACCAGGGATCAAACCCGGGCTTCTGCAATGGAAGCTCGGAGTCCTAACCACTGGAGTGCCAGGGAATTCCCTAATCTTGCATTATTGATTGAAGGTCTTTGTACATTCTTTGCCTCAGAGATTTAGTACCTCACGTAAAGTTTAATCCACAATTTCTTTGTAATTTGGATTTAAATTGAGATTTAATGTTTTCTAGAAATATCTTGATTTTATTTTACAGTTCATTGTAACATTTTCTGTTTTCTATCCAAATAAAGGAATCTCTTTGGCTTTCTTTAAAAACTGTTCATAATATTAAGAAAAATCATTCAATATGCAATATTTAATTTTATTAGGGTAATGTTTAAAATACATTAGAAAATAAAGGAAACAGATCATTTAATGATAATTTTGAGGGAACTGTGCAATTTAGGATATGTATTTTATTTCCAATAATAAAGCAATAAACAAAAAGAAAACCCACTATGTGTCAGGGTAGAGGAAAGACCCAAAACTGAATATAAACACTAAGGAATGAACTTGACTGTTTTACAGATGAGTAACACAGCGACTCTACAAGGGGTGGGGAGGAAAAGAACTCACCTAAGTACTGACGGAAACAGTATCTTGACTGGATACCTAAGAATAAACCAACTGAACTGTACATAAATTCTGTGATCCACATCGTAAGTATTTCTCTCCAGTATGCATGTTAGAATTAAGCAAATATATTGTAGATCATAAGCTGTGTTTCTCACTGTTGGAGAAAAAAGTTATTAAGTAAGGAAGAGGGGAAAGCTAAAATGAAGGCTGTGGTGTTGGATTGGATTCTGAGGTATCTGTATAAACTCATGGTTTTTAATATATGTAAAATAGGTACAGAAATATAGATTGGTGTGTATGTGTGAATTAATAAACATATTTCCTAGTTCTGTCTGCTGAGAGTATTTAGAAGCAATAAGGATACCTAGCATCCAGATCTTGATTTCTAAACACCATTTTCCAATAAAAAGAACAAGGAGAACCTTGGAGAAATAACTGATTCCTAGGCTGAGGCAGGGAAACTACCAGATGAGCCTGGAATATATTGTGGTGCCAGGAAATAATGCTTAAAAAAGGATGTCACAAGAACACAGCAGCCAATCTGAAAGAGCTCCTAATGGCCAAAGCAACAAAATAAAAATGACAATATTGCATTATGACCCATGGACCCATGGTATTTATTTTTAATATTCATGCATCCATACTGATACAAACAAATAATTGGTTATTTAAATGGATGGGAGAAAAGGGACAACTCTTTCTTAGAGTAGAATTCCAATTAATAAATGGAGAAGGAAAGAGGGATAACAAAAATCACCACTAGGCAAACATTGCAGTAATAACTTGCAGACACGATCCACAGATGGATGCTAAATTAGTAGGTGAAAATTTGAGGAGAAACAGGATTTACATAGATTCAAAGTGTTTCACCCAAGATACATTTTAGCACAAAGGGAAAGATAGTAACTTAATAATGGTGAGGGACTTCCCTGGTGGCACAGTGGTTAAGAATCTGCCTGCCAACGAAGGGGAAATGCGTTTGATCCTTGGTCTGGGAAGATCCCATATGCCACGGAGCAGTTAAGCCCATGTGCCACAACTACCGAGCCTGCACTCTAGAGCCCATGAGCCACAACTACTGAGGCTGCATGCCCCAACTACTGAAGCCCGCGCACCTAGAGCCTGTGCTTCTCAAGAAGAGAAGCCACCATTGGGCTTCCCTGGTGGCGCAGTGGTTGAGAGTCCGCCTGCCGATGCAGGGGACGCGGGTTTGTGCCGCGGTCTGCGAAGATCCCACATGCCGCGGAGCGGCTGGGCCCGTGAGCCATGGCCGCTGAGCCTGCGCGTCTGGAGCCTGTGCTCCGCAACGGGAGAGGCAACAGCAGTGAGAGGCCCGCGGACCGCAAAAAAAAAAGAGAGACGCCACCACAATGAGAAGCCCGCACACCGCAGCAAAGAGTAGACCCCACTCACCGCAACTAGAGAAAGCCCACGCACAGCAACGAAGACCCGGAGCAGCAAAAAAATTAATTAATTAATTAATTTTAAAAAATAATGATGGAACTCAGCAAACCACCTTAACCAAGTGATCAAGATAAACATCATCAGTAACAAGACATATTTACATCATGAACCCCTTGATATTTTGCATTGAGAAGGACAGTATCATTTCTGTGGTATTCTTGCTGAAAATGTATAATCTCATTCCAATCATGAAAAAAGCATTAGACAATCTGAAATTGGGGGACTTTCCAAAAGAGAATTGATCAATACTCTTCCAAACTGTCAAGATAATGAAAGACAAGGAAAGACCTGAAGACAACTGCAGACTGCTAGAGACTGGGAAGAAATAACAAGTAAATCTAATGTAGAGTCCTGGAAAGGATCCTGTAAAGGAAAAGGGACATTGGTGGGAAAACTGGTGACATTTGTATAAGGTCTCTAATTTAGTTTGTAATATTGTACTAATGTTAATTCCCTTGTTTCCATAACTATACTAAGGTTATGTAAGATGTTAACGCTGGGGAAGCTGGGTGAAAAATAATACAGGAAATCTTTTTTGCACCTTCTCTGTAAGCCTAACATTAGTTCAAAATAAAAAGTTAAATTTTTTTTTAATTCCACTTAACTTTTCAACTGTATTCATCTCCATTCTTGAAATACCGTCTTCCCTTAACTTTGGAATCACAATGTTCTCTTGGTTTTCTTCACTTTGGACAGTTTTTTATAACCACAGCAACTAGTCCACTGGTTCATGGATTCTGGTCTTGATAAAATTAGGGATATGCAGGAACTTACATGAGAGTACAAAACTATTTTAAGACACACTCTTCTCAAATTCCTTAGCTAAGTTGAAATCACAGGAGACATAGGGGGACTTCACTTGAGAGGAGCCAGAAGTATCAACATAACCTTTTCTCAGATGTAGCGGAGATGGCCACTATATGAGCAGTAATAACCGTGAAACTGCCCCCACCAACCATCAGCTCCATCCGGAAAAGGGAGAGTTCCCACCGTCCTAACTGCTCTCTGGAATTCCAGGGAAAACAGGGAGGTGAAGAGCAAGTGCATTCTGCCTGGTATCTGCAGCATACACACTTTAAACATTAAAGCAAGGGCCAGAAACTGGTGGTCTTTGGCCATAACCAGCCTCCAGGTGTGTGTTTTGTTTTGTTTGAGGTTTTTTTTTTTGAAAACTAAGAATAACAACACTGGTCCAATAGCTGAATGGAAGTGAACTGTAGCTTCTCCCTTTAAGCATGGTATATGCTTTCCTGTTCACCAGAGTCCCTATTACTACTGGTGACACTACTTAAACCCAATCCACTGACACTTTCCACAACTGCCCAACTTCTGCAGATATTTGAGCTTGCAGTTCCTACAATAAAAGATTTTTATTTGTTTGAATTTGTCACTCTTGCTGAGATGGTTTTTGTTCTAATTAGCATGGGTGAGTAAATGCTGTTTTGAAAGCACAAAAACATAATAATAGCTAACATTTTGTCAGCACCTATAGGCAGTGCTCTAGGAGCAATACACATTTAGCCTTCATGAAAGCCCTTTATTTCCATTTTGTGAAAAGGGAACTGAGGCTTAACTTGATTAGGTAATAATTAAGTAACTTGTTCAAGCTCACACAGATAGTAAGTGATAAAGCAGGGACTCAAACCCAGGTCTTCAGAGGCCAAGTTCTGTATTCTTACACTATACCAAACGTCTGCTCTTATCAATTTAATTTGCTTTACTGACTTGGTTGTCTATCTGTAATCTTTGATGCTATCACTCATTTATTTTAAAATTATGAAATATATACCAGCACAAAGAAAAATATAGGGAAAAATATAACAAACATTTGTGTACCCACCACCAGATTTGTCAAATCTTAATATTTTGTCATATTTGTTTTTATTAATAAAACATTACAAATATAGCTGATGCCATATGTAGCCCTTTTTATTCCCTTTCTCCTCTCTCACCACTCCCAGAGATAACCACTATCCTGAATTTGTTATTAACAATACCCATCCATGTTTTATATGTATATATATCTTCATAAAAATTATATATATCTTCACTTGCTCTTTTCAGTCAACATTATGTTTTTGAGGCTTATCCATGTTAATATGTGTAGCTTTAATTTATTTTATATTTTTATTTTTTTTTAATTTGGGGGGACTTCAGATTCACAAAAACAGATTGATCATAATCTTTGGTTCATGACACATCAGAAGTCTGTCACTGGCTTCTTTCTATTTAGTTTACTTTTTTTTTTTAATTTTTAAAATTTTTTTATTATTTTGGCTGCATTAGGTCTTCGTTGCTGTGCACGGGCTTTCTCTAGTTGCCGTGAGCGGGGGCTACTCTTCGTTGCAGTGCATGGGCTTCTCACTGCGGTGGTTTCTCTTGTTGCAAAGCACAGGCTCTAGGCACACGGGCTCAGTAGTTGTGGCGCACGGGCTTAGTTGGTCCACGGCATGTGGGATATTCCCGGACCAGGGCTCGAACGTGTGTCCGCTGCATCGGCAGGCGGATTCGTAACCACTGCGCCACCAGGGAAGTCTGGGTATCCTGTTATACGTAGTCTTTTGGGACTTACCTTTTCCACTTAATGTTGATAAAACTGTTAGGTGTCACTGGAGCTGGTAGTTTTTAAAACAGCTTTATTGGGATTTCATTCACATACCCAAAACCGCATCCACTGAAATGTGTGTAATTCAATGTTTTTTAGTATCTTCACAGAGTTGTGCAACCGTCATCATAATCTAATTTTAGAACATTTTCCTTTCCTGCAAAAGAAATGCCCATCCCCATGAGCTATGAGCTTCACTCCCCATCCCGAAGCCCCACCTCCACCCATGTAACCACTTAACCTTTCTGTCTCTATAGATTATTTAATTATTTATTTATTATTTTTTTTTTGCTGTACGCGGGCCTCTCACTGTTGTGGCCTCTCCCGTTGCGGAGCACAGGCTCCAGACGCGCAGGCTCAGTGGCCGTGGCTCACGGGCCCAGCCGCTCCGCGGCATGTGGGATCTTCCCGGACCGGGGCACAAACCCGCGTCCCCTGCATCGGCAGACGGACTCTCAACTACTGCGCCACCAGGGAAGCCCTATTTAATTAATTTTTACTGTTGTATAATATTACCTTGTTTATACCATAGTTTATTTACCCACTCTCCCACTGATGGGCATTTGGGTTGTTTTCCAGGTTTTCACTGTTATGAATAGTGTTGGTCTGAACAGTCTTGTATCTGTCCTGTCTTGCGCATGCATGTCCAAGATGTTTTCTTTGGCATATACATAATAGTAGACTTACAGGATCATAAATATGCAAGTGCTCAAGTAAAGAAAATAATTAAAACTATTTGGAAACTATATTCCCAAGTAGTTGTGCAATTATACACTCTCACCAGCAATAAAAAAGAGAGATTGTGGATTACTATCTCTCCAAAATTTTATAAGGTTGAACAGCTCCTCAAACGTTTATTGGCCATTTGTGTTGCTCTTCTGTGAAATCCCTGTTCATGTCTTTTGCCTCTGTTTCTATTAGGTGTGTGTGTGCGCACGCTTTTCTTATTGATTTGAAAGAGTTCTTAATTTATTCTTGATACAAATCCTTTGCTATTTCTGCCTATTGTGAATA